CCAAAGGCCTCAACTTTGCTATTACACCACGCAAATTACCGTACGAAGAAATTATCTGTAGTGTCGAGGACTGTTTATTTAAAAACAATATGCGGAAAGAAGATTTGGAGGCGATACGTCAAGACATTTCGTCTATCTTACGTCGATGTTTAGTGCCTAAACCGAATTTTCCCAAAGACGAATTTATAACGTTAAAGAACCTACGCAATAAACCAGAACTTACGATTCTCCGCGCGGATAAGGGAAACGCCACGGTAGTCATGGATACGTCAGATTATAATTCTAAAATACAAGAAATTTTGTCGGATAAGTACTTATAAAAAGGATAAAAACGACCCAACAAATAGCACACTAAAAACAACTAGTGACCTCATAAAGAAACACTCCGATAAATTAAATCTGGACCTAAAATGGATAATACCTACGTGCGCCAAATCCCAAAAATTGTATGGGTTACAAAAAATACACAAGCCCAATGCTCCATTACGTCCTATAGTGAGCCAAATCGATACACCAACTTACAGATTGGCTCAAAACTTTGCGAAAATACTCTCACCGCTCAGGGGACATACAAGAGCACACATAAGTGATTCCTCCCATTTTGTCAGCGAGATTAAAGACTACATCTGGCAGACAATGAAACTATGGTCAGTTTTGATGTGCAGTCATTGTTTACATGCTTACCTGTTGAAGACTGCATCTCAATTGTAACTAGAAGGCTGGAAGAAAACAACATGCCCGTAGAATATGCAGTATTACTCAGATACTGCCTTACATCTGGCTACCTATTGTGGAAGGAGGAGTTCTACAAGCAACTAGATGGTGTGGCGATGGGCTCACCTGTATCTCCCATTGGCGTCGACATATTCATGGAAGACTTTGAGGAGAAAGCCCTGCTTAGTTCTCCCGTAAATCCAAGATTCTACAAGCGGTACGTAGACGACACTTTCACAGTTCTACCTTTAGATAAAGTAACTGCATTTATAGACTATCTTAACTCTATAAATTCTAAAATTCAGTTCATAATGGAGTTAGAAGCAAACAATTCCTTAGCTTTTCTAGATGTGTTAGTAATTCGGAATCCTGATAACACCTTGAGCCATACTGTGTATAGAAAAAAGACCCATACAGATATATATTTAAACAGTGATTCTCACCACCATACTTCACAGTTAGCTACCGTGGGTAAATCTTTGTTTCAGAGATCACGAGGGATCTGTGACAGTAAACACCTGGCTGCCGAGCTCTACCATGTCAAGCAAGTTTTGCATGACAACAGGCTTCGAGTCCCGCGCCTACGTCACAGTGAACGAGTGAAGCCGGCCACAGTCGAGCGTGTACCTGCTGCACCGCCATATGTCAGAGGAGTCACTGACAAGATTGGCTACATCTTAAAGCGCGCTTCCATCAAAACATACTTTAAGCCGCTGAAGAAGATTGGTCAGTTTTACCATCAGTCAAGTGTAATGTCCCTCTGCAAGATGCAGGAGTGGAGTGGAGGAGGAGCTTGATTGTGAATCTGGTCTCTCCTACATAGGACAAACTAAAAGATCAATAAAAACCCGCATTAAAAACATATAGCTGATGTGAAGAATCGATGCTCCAGGAAGTCTGCAGTCTGTGAACACGTACAGGATCGCCCCCGTCACTACATCAGATTTGATAGACCGCAAATCCTCGCTAAAGAACACCGATTCCTTCTAAGGAATCGGTGTTCTTTTGCGAGGCTATTGAAATCAAAAAACATCCTAATTTCAATAGAGAAGATGGCTGGGTGCTACCATCTGCTTGGGATCCTATAATAAATAAAATTAAATCCCAACTTAAGCATATAACTGCAAGATTTCAAGATACCATAAGTTCATACTGTATAGATCGGAACAAAAGTTAAATTTTAATCTATGGTAACCGCGGTTAACTATGACATATGGACGTTGAACATCTCAGTCCCGCCCGTGACCATGAGTGCTGTAAAGCGTTCGAAACGTCGGGTATTTAAAAAGTTAAATATACGCGATAAATTCCGTAAAAACTAGTATTATTTCAATGTGTAGTGTTCGCGTAAATATAAGAAATCATTAAGTAGTGTGTTGTTGAATCTTTCAAATCTACGAAACATGTGATTATTCTTTCTGAAACATGGATTAAGTCTAATGATGAAGCCAAGATATTTTAATTACCCGGATATACTCACTACCATCAGCACAGATTTTTTTTTATTGGCGGTGGAGTATCAATATTTGTCCATAACATTCTTAAACATTGCTATGTTGATGAATTCGAAAAAGATGAAAACCAGTTCTTGTGGATACACATAGATAAATTTTCACTAGATATTGGCGCAGTATACAAGCCTGGTAGAACAAACATTACAAAATTTCTAGAAACTATTTCATTACAACTACATCATAAAAAAGAACCGTAGTATTTGGTGACTTTAATCTGGACCTGCTTAACCTGGACAGTTCAGTTGAAGAATATAAAAATACACTCCTAGAAAGCGGCTACTCAATAATTAATAGAATATGTCTTCAGTATTGTACGCGTGAAACATCAAAAAGTAAAACTATTCTTGATCATATATCTACAGACTTAAAGGAAAACAAATTCCATCTGGAAATTGTTGAATCGTCTATGTCAGACAATAAGCAGATCTTTTTTGAAATAAAAGAATTCAAACCAGAGCCTAAAGAAAGAATAGAATACGAAGCATTCGATTACAAAAAACTATATGAAACGCTAGAAAAATCAAACGTATAAAGTACTGAAAACAAATAATACACAAGATTTGAAGTAAAACTTATGAAAAGTATAGAGAATTGTATGTCAAGAAAGTCAAAATTAAAAATCCACTGAAACAGGAATGGATTAACAAGGGAATAATTAAGGATATTACTTATAAAAACATACTCTGGCAACGATACAAACGCCATCCAGAGAATAAACTCGCCAAGGAAAACTTTCTAAAACAAATGAACCTAGTTGCTAATAAAATTCAAAGAATGAAACAAGAGTACTACTACAAGAAATTTACAGATTATAAACGCAATTCAGCCAAGATGTGGAAATTAATAAATAACCTCAACAATAACAAATTAAGAGAAATATCGATACCACCCAAATTACTAATAGGAGGAACTTCGGTAACCGATACAAAAGAGATCTGCGAATGTTTCAACCACTTTTTTTCATTTATTGGAGCAGATCTACCACAAAAAATTCCCCTTCAGTACCATTATAACAGAATCTTTACAAATGCAAAAGTTAACAACAACGATAAAAGACTAACGGCAATGGCACCGGCTGCAGTTGAGGAGGTAATTAAAATAATAAACAACTTAGATCCAAATACTAGCTCGGGCATTGATAACGTCAATTCTAAGTCCATAAATTGCGTAAAAATGAATAAATGCGATGCTTAAATAGTTGTCTAGAACAAAGTACATTTCCCAGTAGTCTCAAAATCGCCAAAGTTACACCTATTCACAAATATGGCAGCAAAACCGACCCCAGCAACTACCGGCCTATATCGGTTCTTCCCGTTGTCTCTAAAATTTTCGAGAAAATTATCTATAACCGACTTGAGATTTATTTAAACTCTATAAATTTTCTTTATCACAAACAATATGGTTTCAGACCCGAACCGAGCACACTATCAGCGACTGTAGACCTTGTTACCAAAATAAAAAACAATATAGATGAAAAAAATGTTGCTCTTGGCATCTTCATTGATCTAAAAAAGTGTTCGATACAGTCTCACAAAAAAAACTTTTGGATAAGTTACACGATATAGGTATAACAGCAAAGCCTCTTTCATACCTCTCCGACCGTTATCAGATACTTAAACTTGCAGAACACAAAAGCAGCCTATAACAAATAACGTACGGTGTACCTCAAGGCTCCATTTAAGGACCATTGCTTTTCCTTATTTACATAAACGACGTAAGCACATTAGAACTAAAAGGAGACCTATCACTATATATGTACGATACCAGCTTATTTTACTTCGGTAACAATATTGAATCAATTAATCAAGACGCGCTAAATGATCTAAACATACTAAATAAGTGGTTTTGCTCAAATCTACTTACAGTAAACGTAGCCAAAACAAACTATATGATCTTTGCAGCAAAGAATAAAAAAAATCCCGACTTACACCTCTAAAAATTAATGACATAGTCATCAATAAAGTAACAAGCGAGAAGTATTTGGGCCTTACTTTAGATAATTTACTTGGAAAGAACACTTGAAAAAAATAAAACAAAAACTGATAGCCCTAACCGGAGCACTACGCGGAACAGTTCGCTGCCTTCCACAAAAAGTCCGTTACATTATCTATAAATCCCTAGCTAAGCCACACATCGATTATCTGGTAGAAATCTGGGGATCAGCTGCCAAAACTAATCTCAATTCTGTTCAAATCGCGCAAAACAAATTGATCAAAATTCTTTTTGGTTATGATTTCCTGACATCTATAACCAAAATATACAAAGATACTAAAATACTTAACCTTTAGCTGCCGACCTGGTCTAAACGTAGCACTTACGCCGACGTGACGACTGAGAGGCGTCAAAATTTAAGTATTGAAATAAAATGTGTATTTGCATGCTACATTTTTCTATTTTATACATTAAAAAGATTGATGTTTGAGGTAACAAACTACAGAATTTAGAAAAAATACAGGCTATTTTTCAGGTAAAATTAACATTTATTCGAGAGATCGCAATTATTTGGCACAAAATTTTAAGGACTTACTTCAGTCTCTTTTTTCTCTTAAATTAAGTAATTAACAACAAATGAACTTAAAATATGTTATCTTCTATAAACTATTATCAAAATAAAGCATAAATCTTACTTCTTAGTTAAAAAATAAAAATAATGACAGCCCTCGAATATTTTGTACATTCACTACGTACGTTTGCAGTTAATGCATATTTGTTGGCAGCAAGTAAGGCAAATTGGTTTCTTGCATTTGCAGCAACAGTACTTCGTTCACCTTTTCAACCGACTGGGACAGATTGCACATGTCTTTCTAACACCTGAATCTGGATTCTGATAAGTTTTTGGTGGTGGAGGTGGATCTCTTCAATTCTAGCCTCTGCTGATCTATGCTGTTCCTCTATGACCATTGTCTCTTCTTCGATCTGTTCTGTAATGTCCTGACTTCCATGAGCTCGCACTTTTCTTTCTTGTTCCTCATCGTGATTATGGTTGATTTCTCCGTGGTAAACTTCCTCAACATGGGGATACGCGACCTCAACATCATCCTCATCGGATTGTTCGGATTGCGTGTTGGTGCTCTGTAAATTAAAATCAGGATCGCCTACATCGTCGTCAAATTCACTACAGTTGTCGTTACTCTCGTTTATGAGATTTTCACATATCTCTTTATCTTCTAAACGCCTATTCTGTTTTCGCAGTTTCGGAGGCTTCTCGGGAACTGAACCGTCATCATATGCAGGTTTTTCCGCTCAATAGACGTGATGTTTCTCCTTTTAGGCATTCTGCAATTAAAAGCATAATTTTAAAGCCGATGTGACGTCAATCAGGCACTATAAGCTACCACACATGAATACCGAGGTGACGACCAAGAGACGTACGAAATTTAGTACATAAACACCGTACTTACGTCTGTCAGACGTCGATCGCTTCTATACGGAGACGTGTGTACTCGCCACGGGCGCAGCATCGACTGATGGCTTGTGGCGCGGAGGGAGGAAGGTAGCGGGAAGGGCGACGGTGAAGGTGGCGTGATTTTAGAAATATTTCAAAATTAAAAGTTATTACGTCTGTGAGACGTATAGGTCGGTAGTTAAAGGTTAATATAGAACAATCATACAAATACTTTTACTGCGTACTAATACGAAAATTTTTAAATAAAAACATACCTACTAACTTAATCATTACAAAAAATAAAAATGTGCAAACTAAAATGAGAAGTGCTAATAACTTAATTCTGCGACGGCCAAGAATCAACTACGGAAAAAAGAACATCACTTATGAAAGCGCACAACTATACAATAAATTGCCTGTAGTTATCAAGGAAGCTAAAAGTATGCTAACATTTAAAAGACTGTTAAAAATAGCCTACAAAATCACAAACTATTGTTGCGTGTATAAGTCAACTAGCGCCATCTAGTGTCAGGAACGAGAGCGAGGGGAGCTTTGCAGAAAATGACATTACAAGTCTCTCAACCGACAGCGCCATCCGAAGAACTAAGTTTCTAGAAAATCTACACTCGCACACTCGTCCCTTTGCGCGCATTTACTTGAATATTCCGGATGCTTCTTTGCTAATTTATATAAATAGGCGCTGCAAGATGCGATCGAGGCAGTATTGGAATTGGCAACACAAGCGAAGCTTCGGAGCGGAATAAAGTAAATTAGTGTGATTAGTTATTAGTGTTTTAAGTTTTAATTTGTGTAAAGTAAATTAAAGTGTTAATTTAGGTAATTTTATCGGCAATTTTTATTGTCACGAACCTCAAGCTCGTAACACTATAATAACACCCTAACTACTTCTAAACAAACAAAAAACAAAAAAAAACTATCAAACAAATAAATATATAATAAACGAATAAATATTAAAAACCATCACTACGGTTACTAAATATCATTAAACATTCATATTAATAATTAATACAATATTACAATAATTCTCGTTATGATGGCTAGTCAATTCTAGCAAAGAATCTTTAAATCCACGTATCTGTGTTCGCTTGCACCGTTTATTTTTGTTTGCACGGGCGATCTTCAATCCTGTTATGATGGTAAAATTTCTACCCGCACTATTTATATAATTTTGTGACATAAAATATTTGTGTACTTTGCCTGGCACGCTCGGTGACCACTTACTACCTAACACTCATTACGTATTTTGTTTTTAATGTATTTCTCATTTAAGTGAATTTTTGTAAATTCTTATGAGAATAAATGTCTTTGATCCCAAGTACACTATCTAGTTGATTCGGCACTATACCAATTTGAATCAACCATTATCACCGACTGTAATCCTATCGAATACTAATGTCGACCAAGAAAAGTTTCCAAGAAAAGGCTTTGTGTTCAACTGTTCCTGAAATATGAAGTTTCATTGGATGGTTTTTAAGATCAATATTCGGCGTCTCTTATTATGAGATGAAGATGAAATATTTATTAGATTATTTATTGTTTCTTCTGACAGCCCACACAGAATTTATATTGAGAAAAAAGAAAGATTTTTTGTGTGAATATGAGACACTAGTCAGTTAAATTTTATTCTAGGATAATTGACAGAATCAGGCATTACTTTGCGGAAATCCATTATAATAAAAATATTAATTAATTTGCAACCTTCCGCTAACTAAATACAATGATGTGTCTTACCTGGATTGAAGAGCACCTCCCACCCTCCCTCAATTGCGTGCACTAACTCCGTCACCACTAGTCCCAGCACCACTACTCCCGGCACCACTACTTCAAACACCACTATTCCAGGTAAAACACACCATCGACGATAATACACGTCGTATTATACATTAAGGATATATTTAGGACATGGTTCGTCATATGAAAAATTATAATTAAACCTCAAAAGGTCGCAATTTTTAAATCCGGCTCAAAGTGTCAATATTAATTATCGCTACTCATTTCCATTTTTTGAACTTAAATAATTAGTTGACAGCTGAATATACATTGATTAAAAATAATCAATACCCTAATATATAAATTATTGGCAGAAATAATTCTATACCGAAAATAACCTAAACCTAAGTAAATTGTTTTTTCCGATTTTTCAAATGTTACAGTAGTTGTTTTCAGTATATCGCATTATATTTGCTCAATATTTTATATTTAACGCATGCAAACAAACGTTTTGCATTCCAGTCACGTCGCGAGATCCGTCGCCTAACGATACGTGAATAAAGAGGACAGGTCCTTGAGGCTTTTATGACGCGACGTTGCTTTTTTCCGTAAAACAATATACTATGTTTAACAAAATGTTGTTGCGTGTGTATTTCTGAGGTTAAATAAAAATATTGTATTGTTAAACAAACATCATATATTTTGTTAGCTTTGGGTTGGTTGTGGATAACTTCGGCCGAAAGATATATGATAATGTTACGAGATTGAGGTTCGTGACAATAAAAACTGCCGATTGAATTACCAAAATTTACACTTTAATTAACTTTAGACTAATTAAAACTTAAAACACTAATAATTAACCACACTGATTCATTTTATTTCGCTCCGAAGCTTCGCTTGTCCCGCCAAATTCAATACTGCCCCGATCGCGGCATGCAGCGAGTTTAAATACAGGTTTACACCGAAACATCCAGAATATTCCCGTAAATACGAGCGTCGACCAACCAGACGCAGAAAGTTCAAGTGTGAGGCTTGTAGAAAGTTTAGTTCTTCAATTCGATACTAGATGGCGCTGTTGGTTAAAATATTAGTCATGTCATTTTCTGGAAAGCTCTCCTCGCTCTGTTACCCGATACTAGATGGTGTTAGTGCCAGACGTCAACTTAGGCGCGCAACACTGCCCCCCCCCCCCTAATACATGCTCGTCCCGAGCATTATCGGCCCCATAATAACGCGCCAGGCGATCTACATGGACGATATTAAGAGTCCCTCTTGTGCCTTTCTGTATCCGGTAGGTTACATCGTTGATCCTGGTCACAATCCGGTACGGGCCGTCCCATTTAGCTTGAAGCTTAGGAGATTTCCCTTTGCTGCGGACTGGATTGTGCAACCACACTAGTGAACCTTCGTCGAAGCGTTTGTTGTTCATTTTACGGTCATACCGGGTTCTCATATTTTCAGACATTTGCTGGCCCAATTGTCTGACGTGCTCATAAATGTCATTAATTTTGTTCCACAAGTCATTTTCATAATCGGTTATACTGCGTGGGGCATCAGGTGGTATCCCGGTGATCAGTTCAAAGCTGGTGTCACTGCTGTACTTTCGTGAACAGCGCTTCGATATGACAACAAAAACGGTTGTATGTGTTTGTCCAAATATTGTTGCCGATTGTCTACAACTTTTGCTAAGTACTCTCCAATGTCTGATTAAATCGTTCGACCATTCCATCAGATTGCGGGTGATAAGAAGTCGTTCTTGTTTTATGAGTACCCATAACTCGGCAAGTTTTCTGGAATATTTGAGACTCAAAATTCCTTCCTTGATCGATGTGAATCTCTAAAGTTACTCCAAAACGACTGAAGACTTCATGAACTAGTTTATCTGTAACTGTTTATCTGTAACTGAAGCTTCTGGATTTGGAATAGCGAAGACTTCTGGCCACTTAGTGAAGTAATCCATCACAACCATGAAATACTTGTTACCGCTTTCACATCTCGACAGCTGTTTACAGAAGCTGAAAAATAGCTGGTTGGGTGTGAAATTGGGTGACATTAAAGTAAATTGTCTGCTGTATGCTGACGATGCAGTGCTTATTGCACCATCAGAAGCAGAACTGCAGGCATTAGTCACGTGTATGAAAGAGGAATGTGAAATTAAAGGTGTCCGTTTGAATGCTAATAAAACTAAGGTTCTGGTATTTGAAAAGGACGAAGAGAGAACGAAATGTGAAATATGGGTAAATCAGGAATGTCTAGAACAGGTAAATGAAATTGTATACTTGGGGAGTGCTTTCAGCCGGGATGGAAGATGTGATTTAGATGTGGATAGGCGTGTCGCTGCCGGAAACAAAGTCAGTGGTGCCCTGAATGCATTAGTAAAAAGGCAAAGCATGGTGAAGAGTGCACGCCTTACAATACATAACGCAGTGTTGGTACCGACTTTGTTATATGGCAGCGAAACCTGGGTATGCCAGAAGAAGCATAAAAGCAAGTTGAATGCAGTGGAGATGCGATCTCTTCGTAAAATGTGTGGCGTTACCATAGCCGACCGAAAGCGAAACGAAGAGATTTGCATTATGGCAAGATTGAAAGATGACCTTATCACAAAAATTGATAGGGGCGTACTCCAATGGTTTGGGTACGTTGAACGAATGAGTGAAGACCGAATGGTGAAGAAAATATATAGAGCGAAAGTAAATATTAAAAGGTGTCGAGGTAGACCGAGACTAACTTTCGAAGACCATGTGAGCAAATTGCTCGAAGAGGGGAGGGTCAAGAGTACTCGGATACCTAGACGTGCATGTATGAAGAAGTTAATGAACCTGAAAGAAGCGAAAGAGGTATCGTGACACTTGGCGATCTGTTCTCTCTGGCTACCCCGTTAGGGATTGTGCGTGAAGATAAGTAAGTAAGTAAGTAAGTTATGTGATGCAAATTGAAGCGAGAAAGATAATTTAAGAAAGCGTGATGAACTGTGTGCCAGCTCGTCGCTCTAAAATAGTATTATTACCGCCGTACTTCCCTTTTTAATATTTCAACATGATCATAGGCAACGGACTCAACCCAACATCAGCACCGGCTGTTTACACTCAGAGT